AACATGACCCAACGCCTTCAGAATGTCATAAGACTCGGAGATGTTAATAAGGACTAAAGGAAGCAAATGAATGCACTAGCCACAGTATTTTTTTAAATTTTAACTAATTGTTACTGCATGCGAGATTTTCTACTTAGAAAAGGCAAGATGCCATGTTTATTTGCCGATACTGTAGCTAATAGAAGCTGTATTGTAACTAAAGAGTTGGCAAAAATAGGTTTGCAACTGAGAATTATCAACACTAGTTCACACACTATAATTGGTGACAAGATCTTACTGGGGACATGTGGGTTGGTGAAAGTAATAAATCTTACTCCATGTGTCAGGCTTGTCTAGGAACTACAGAAATCGGACTTTTCCGCAATGTATTCATGTGAATCTGGTTTCCATGCCTTTCTTCACATATGAAGTAAAAGTCAAAACTGGTTCTATGTGCACCGATATATAAAGTGTGGGGCAAAAAATGACAACCTAGAATAAGTCAGTACAGGCTCATCCATCCCACTTATAAGGTAATATAGGTAACAAAAAACAGTATCAAAACAGTTTTTATAATCGTTTTTCGTTAGAGGATTCTCAAAGAACGGAAAATTGCCACGAAGAATTTCTAAGAGATCCTTAAAGGAAGAATGAAAAAAAAAAACGTTTGAGAAACTCGTGGCATGTGCAACATTCTTTTTTTCCATGTAGGACTTCTAAAACGTAGCAAGGTAGTGATGTCAATAAAGTGTTAGGCAATCAGCACTTTAAAGGATGTTTAAAAAATTAAGTTCTTTTTATTTCACTACCTTTACACACACACACACACACACACACACACACACACACACAGAACAAAAGGTGTCCAAGTCGGTGAAACGTATAGGAAGCAGTTGGGGGCGTATTCTGAATGGCCTAATTTACGGGCAACAGTGACGAACTCTCTAATAGTTAGTTTTTAGTTAGAATAGATATAATTACTGACAGCTGTTTCGTCTATTCTCCAGCTGTTGTCTTTCTGTTATACATTCTAAACAGTACATTACTTGAAGATGACCTTTCGCGGACCCAGTTTATCAACTACAAGTACTCCGCAAAATAATGTATTCTGACATGTTTGTAATTATTTGTGGTGAATTAATCAAACGTATGTCTGCATCTTTTTTTTTCTTTCTATCTTGCAAACTTTCAATTAATTATCTCTGTGACACAATAGCTCATCCTATCCCTTACCTGTATTTATTTTTCTAACTTGGGGCTTTGCGGTCCACATGAATATATTTGCCATTGTAGGACACTGGATTGTATTCTCTTTCAAAATTATGTTCCTTGCCCTCAAAAGATTTTTACGGCACTCGTAGTCTTTAAAAATACATTCACTTCTGCATCAAGTGCAGCAATAGGGCGCTTCATTTGTTGTGATAGGGCTCTGGGTTGGCATCAGCTGGGAGCAAGGTGAGGGGGAAAAGAACAGACCGCATGATGATATGCTTCAATTTGCGTGTTTTTCTAAGGACATTTTCCCCCCTTTCAGCCTCCTTTTAAATCCGTTGTTGGACATAGACCTTCCTCAGACTTTTTCCTCGTCGTTCGGTTTCCAGTCTTCCGGTGCCAACTGCCTTGAAACTCACCGACTCAAAGGAACCACCTTAATGTTGCTGGAGACGTGTCTCATAATGGGGACATTTACTTCCACTCACATATGGGAACAGGTTTACCAGGCATATCATGGTTTTCCTTTTCGGTTTGAAAATACAATTGCATTTTCATTTCGCTACTTAAAGGGAAAATGAAGCATAATGTTTTGTGAATTCGTCCATAACTACAGTAAATCTGCATAACAGTGCACATATTTGGAATTAATGGCATGAAAAAATTGACTTTCAGAAGGTTTGAGTTAGACTTTTCCACAAAGAAAGAAATCCGATATTTGATTTTAAAAAAATATAATTTGTCGGGTACTTAATTCATTAATGAGTTATGATACATTTGTACGTGACCCATTTGCATATATTTTCTCTTGGAACCTGTTCTATTACGGTGACGAAAGAACTGCCTTTCATATAACTATGGCAATTATGATAACTGTTCTTCTCATCATCATTATATTACAGACAGTTTATCTTGCTGAACAACCGTGGCCCTTCTCGCAAAAACAGTAGCTGTAACTGAGTAAGAACAGTGGTTAGGGGGTTAAGTTCCAAGTATTAAGCCACTAAGCCATTATCAACTGCAGATGCCACCGTATTATCGTACCAAAAGTGTCACATAGACTTTTATCGAACGTCCATATTTAGAGAGGGGACTGTGGCTGGCAGTGGACCCCCATTAGTCACTCGTGCAGCTTTTGGAGCATCGTCAGAATGAGTCAAAGGCATGCATGACCTGCGATATAGGAGGAAAATACTTGAAAGTGCTTATAGATGGCTGGTTTTTCTGATACAACTCAATTAGCAAAGCATGACTTAACTGAGTTGCAATTAACTATTGTTTGTATATAATAATAATAGTAGTAGTAATAATAAAGATAATAATACTAAAGAAAAATGTGTACGACTGTATTATCCAAAACTACAAGCAGTAAGGTTTACTTGTAAACAGACATATTAACAAAAGTGTCAGATGACTGGGTCCCCAGCTTTGTAGTATGTGATACCTATTACTTTTAAATAATTGAAATTATTTGTTTATATCCGTTTAGTATATTCGAGTAAATTCACGTACGTGCAGATCGATAATAACAACAGAAGTTTAAAATTCGGAGGTTATTTTTTTTTTAGTGATAACTGAGAGGGATTAACTGTTTATTTTTTATGATTGTGAAACAGAATTTTTTTTCTTTACGAAGATTTCAGGAGGAAATTACGTGGCCGATAAAAATATTTGCTTTTAGCTCACTGCTGCATATTGTAAGATTTCTAGCAAACTCAAGCGATAAATGTTAATAGATATTTGTGAAAAGTACTCTAAATAAGGATACTACATCCTCAGCACCAGTGTTGTCCACGCAGGTGCAGTGCATGCAATGGAATGGTCTAATTACTACAGTAACCTCAATTCCGCCAAGAATGAAAGAGAAAATCAATAATAAACATCACATTTCGCTATTTTTTTCTTTCAGTGTACTGAATGACAAATTATTGTCAGACACTCAAATTATGCAAGTTCTTGATTTACTTCCATTATTCAAATAAATTTACCAGCCATGACGCAACGTAATGGTAGACGGATAAAATATTAGATATAAAAGAACAACAGCACCCTACGATCTACATTTTCACAGTATAGAACGTCATGATCATTGACTCGATATATATACCAAAGTACTGAGTACTTGTAAGGAAATACTTGGAAATCGCTGCTGTTTACGGAGGAACCAAAAGTGCAGTACAAATATCCAAGGCATATCTTCTAGAGTATTTCTATAGTTATCCTCTCCTCTTACCAGTGACCCATTAGGGTAATATCATATTTCAAGGTAATTCATATACCTTATCTATGATTGTCGTTATATTTAGCCTTTGACTATCATATTTAATGGTGAGTCATATACCCACTTTAGTTTTCTTGTAGCCGTCGAATATAACTGTCAGAGCTATCATTACAATTACATAGGTAGCATATTTGCGTGTACTTCTGTGCATAGCTACGAATGGTGTAAATATAGTAAAGAAAAAGGAAAAGCTTGCATCTCTATACGACTGCCTTCTTATATTATTTCTTTCTTTTTTTTTTCTCCCTATACAAGGGTCTGCATGTAATCTCTCTGGAATTTTTGTTGCTTTTCCTACCCATATGCACTTGTTTTCAATGATAAACTGATAAACGTATAACTGAAAGGGGTAGGGTCAGTTATATTTTTCATGTTCTAATGTATACTTATTAATGTACTGTGTGTGTGTGTATGTGTGTGTGTGTGTGTGTGTGTGTGTGTGTGTGTGTGTGTGTTGTGTGTGTGTGTGTGTGAACAGAAGTAGTTTAAATTACCCAAATATGAAATTGATTTAATATTCCTTCTACAATTTTTTTCAGACTGACCCCGACGTTGCTCCACAAAATCAAAAGACCTCCTTCCCCCCCCCCCCCAAAAAAGAAAAAGAAAAAAAATAAAAATCGCATAACTAGAACCCAAAATTCATCATCACCAACCTTATATCACAACATCACCAACAACCCACAGACAACCCAATAAACCTCACTACCCAACCCCCACCACATACAGAGAGCATCCAGCCAAGCATCCTCCCTCTCACAAACCTCTCATTACAGCATCCCCTTTCACCTCTCTCCCTCTCCCCTCTCCTCTCCTACTTTCACCCTCTTCCTTTCTCCTCCCACTCCCTATTTTTACCTCTCTCCTCCCCCCCTCCTCTTTCACCTGTCTCCTCCCCTTCACACTCACCACTTTCACCTCTCCTTCCTCCCACTCCCACATTTCACTCTCTCCCTCTCCTCCCTCTCCACCATTCACCGCTCTCTCCCTCTCACTCCCACTCTCCACCTTCACCTTCTCCTCTCTCCTCACTTCTCCCTCTCTCACCTCTCTCCTTCTCCTCCTACCCCACTTTCACCTTCATTCTCCTCTCCCTTCCTTCAGTCTCCTCCCTCCCCTCCCACTCCCAACTTTTACTCTCTTCCTCTCCTCCCTCTCCACCTTCGCCATCTCCCTCTCTCAACTCTCCACCTTCACTCTCTCTCCCTCTCCTCTCACTCCCCACCTTCATCGTCCCTCTCTCCCACTTCACCCCTCCCCTCTCCTCCCACTCCCACCTTCACCTCTCTCCTCTCCTCCCATTCCATTCAACCTCTCTCCTCTCCTCTCACTCCCACATTTCCCCTCTCTCCTCTTCCTTCCACTCCCCACCTTCACATATCTCCCTCTCCTCCCACTCCCCACCTTCACCTCTCTCCCACTCCTCATTCACCCCCTCTCCTCCCTCCCACTCCCCACCTTCACCTCTCTCCCTCTCCTCCCACTCCCCACCTTCACCTCCCTCCCTCTCCACCCACTCCCATTCACCTCCCTCCCACTCCGCCCACTCCACCGCCACCATGCCTCAGAACCTGCGCCTGTTCCACCCCGGCGTGAGTGGAATGAAAAACATGTTCGACAAGAAAGTGGAAGAACACAAGCAAGCGCAACTGGACAATCCCTTTAGCGAGTGGGAAGGCGCTGGAAGGACCCGAAGACTGTCCAAAGAAGACATTGGCTACGGCAGGTTAGAGAGGTTCCCGTTAATAGTGGGGTTGAGGATCTTTTTTTTTTTTTTTTTTTTTTTTTTTGTAGAGGAAGAATGTTTTTTTTTTCTGTTTTTATTGTTGGTGTTATGATTGTTATCGTAATTATTGTTGGTATGCTTTAATGATGTTTTTTTTATGGGAAGAATGCTGTTTTTGTTGATTTTGTTTTCCTGTTCTTATTGTTGGGGTTATGATTGTTATCGTAATTTCTGTTGTTATGCTCTAATAATGTTTTTTTTGTATGGGAGGAATGTTGTTTTTGTTGATTTTATTTTTCTGTTCTTATTGTTGGGGTTATGATTGTTATCGTAATTATTGTTGGTATGCTTTAATAATGTTTTTTCGTATGGGAAGAATGTTGTTTTGTTGATTTTTTTTCTGTTCTTATTGTTGGGGTTATGATTGTTATCGTAATTATTGTTGGTATGCTCTGATTTTTTTTTTTTTTTTTGTATAGGAAGAATGATGTTTTATTGATTTTATTCTGTTCTTATTGTTGGGGTTATAATTGTTATCGTAATTACTGTTGGTATGCTTTAATGTTTTTTTATGGGAAGAATGTTGTTTTTGTTGATTTTGTTTTTCTGTTCTTATTGTTGGTGTTATGATTGTTATCATTATTACTGTTGTTATGCTCTAATCATGTTTTTATGGGAAGAATGTTGTTTGTGTTTATTTTTTTCTGTTCTTACTGTTGGTGTTATGATTGTTATCGTAATTACTGTTGGTATCCTCTAATAATGTTGTTTTCTTATGGGAAGAATGTTTTATTGATTTTATTCTGTTCTTATTGTTGATGTTATAATTGTTATCGTAATTATTGTTGTTATGCTCTAATAATGTTTTTTTTTTTATATGGGAAGAATGTTGTTTTTGTTGATTTTTTTCCTGTTCTTATTGTTGGGGTTATGATTGTTATCGTAATTACTGTTGTTATGCTCTAATATATATATTTTTTAGTGGGAAGAATGTTGTTTTGTTGATTTTTTTCCTGTTTTTATTGTTAGTGTTATGATTGTTATCATAATTACTGTTGTTATGCTCTAATAACGTTTTTTTATGGGAAGAAAGTTGTTTTTGTTGATTTTGTTTTCCTGTTCTTATTGTTGGTGTTATAAGTTATCATAATTACTGTTGTTATGCTCTAATTTTTTTCATGGGAAGAATGTTGTTTTGTTGATTTTATTCTGTTCTTATTGTTGGTGTTATAATTGTTATCATAATTACTGTTGTTATGTTCTTTTATTGATGACAATGATGATAATGGTGATAATGATAATGATAACAGAAATAATTATAATAATTATCATTATAGTTTTGTTATCGTTATTATTGATATCGTTGTTATGTTTGATTTTGTGTTTGTTATCGTCATTATCATCGTTACTATTATAATATAATGATAATATTATTTTCCTTGTCATTATCATTATTCTAATAATTTTATTCACTGCTATTACTATTGTCCTTACGATTATCACCATTATCATTATCATAGTTTCATCATTATCTGTATCATCATTAATACTGTTTCTATTGTTATTGTCATTATCCAGTACTTCTTCGAATATGCCTAAATGAACCTATCGCAAAAAGAAAACTGAACATCAACCTTTATATTATGAACAGAAACACAAAGTAAAGACAAACGAGCAAAACAAAAACAAATCAAAACAAAATAATAATAATAATAAAATAAAAATAGAGATTTACATTAACTGCCCCTTGAAAAACTACCCTGAACTACATTTTCTTTCCTTACCTCCCTCTTTAGACCTTTACCGGGAAGCCAGTCGGAGAAGCGGAGCCAGGCGGCCCAACAGCACATAATGATGGAGATCAGGTACCTCTGTGATATGATCTGGGACTGTTCTGAATGGCGCAGTCCTGATGGCAGGGCGGCGATCACCTTCGGAAAGCTTTTCAAAGTGAGTGTTCTCGCCTCGCTTGATTTTGGGAATTGATGTTATTGTTTTCGTTGTTTTTTTTTTCTAATGTTATTCTTTTGTATTGGGATGTTGGTTGGTTTGCTATTTGTATGAATTGAAGTTGGTTGGTTGGCTATTTATAAAAATACATGCATATGTATAGATATATATATTATATATATATATATATATATATATATTATATATATATATATACATTGTTGTTTGGTTTGTTATTGATATAAATTGATGGTTGAATGTTGTTTGGTATGCTGCTTATATAAATACTTATATATTCTGATTTACGGACGTACACATTCGCACTTGAACAAATAGACATGGAGTGCTGTTTATAAGTGTACATTTACTCATTACTATTATCACTTACAATCAGCTATTCGTATAAGTAGCGAATTACTGAAGATCCGATTGCATTCCATTCAGCTCTACATCGGGATCTCTGACAAGGTGGTGGGGACGCTGCTGAGGGCACGCAAGCACGGCTTCTTGCACTTCGAAGGCGAAATGCTGTACCAGGTAAGTGCTTTGGACGCACTTCTTCGTGTGAAATAAAGGAATGCACGCACACATACATATTAATATGTATGTACATATGTACACACGCACGCACGGAAACACGCGCGCGCGCGCGCGCGCGCACACCAACACACACACACACAACACACACACACACACACACACACACACACACACACACACACACACACACGTATATATAGATAGATGTATAGACATGTAGATAATACATTATAATGTCATGTATATGTATGAATATATGTATAATTAATATATATATTATATATCATATTACATATATATATACATACATACATAACTACATATATATATAATATTTATAATATATAATATATTATATAGTATATATATATATATATATGAATATACATATATCCTTATACACGACAACACACACACACACACACGCAACACACACACACACACACACAGCACAACACACAACAATCAACACAACACACAACACACACACAACACACAATATATGATATATTTGAGACGAGTGATATAAATAATATATATTGTTGTGTGTGTGTGTGTGTGTGTTGTGTGTGTGTGTGTGTTGTGTGTGTGTGGTGTGTCCTGTGTGTGTAATTAATATTATGTATATATACGATGCATATATATATATATATATATTATATATATATATATTTATATATATATATATATCACAACACACCACACACCAGAAAACACCAACCCCAAAAACATCAACACACACACACACACACACTCACACACACACACACAACACACACACACACACAACACACAAACATATATATAACATATATGTATATGTATAATGTATATTTTGTATATATGTATATGATTATATATATATATATATTATATTATATATATACTGTATTATATGTTATGCATATATATATATAATATATATATATATATATATATATAAAAGTAATATATATATTATTAATTATACATATAATATATATATATTGTATGTATAATATATGTATACATATATATATATACAATATATAATATATATATTTATATATTATATATATATATATACTATATAATATATGTATGAATGTATTAATTTATGTATATATATATATATATATATAATATATATATATATATATATAGTAATATATATATATGTGTGTGTGTGTGTGTGTGTGTGTGTGTGTGTGTGTGGTGTGTGTGTGTGATGTGTGTATATATATATATATATGATATGTGGGTGTGTGACTGTGGTGTGTGTGTGTGTGTTGTAATATATATATTAATATATATATATAATATAGTAGTATATATATATATATATATATATAAATATATAATACTTACAACACACAGCAACACACACACCGACACACCACACACACACACACACACGACACACAACACACACCATGTATAATATATACTATATATATATATATATTATATATATAGTATATATAATATGTATATATGTTATATAATATATATTATGTGTGTGGTGTTGTGTGTGTGTGTGTGTGGTGTGTGTGGTGTGTGTGTGTGTGTGTGTGTGTGTGCGTTTGCTTATGTACATGATCTACAACATATTATACATACAATTTGTTACATCATTACATACAGAAATATGTGGCGCGCCATGCAGTTTGTTTAAATTATATGTGGTGTGAATTTTACTTATCATGTAGCTGTATCTATCTCTAATTGAATTTATCTCTTTATCAGTGTTAATCAATCCGTTCTTCTCTGCCTAATTGACTTACCTATGCCTATCATGCGTATGCTGTAAACAAACACAAAACAGGAACACATGTACGCAAAATTCTATTGGCGACGCGATTGGTGTGTACATGAGGTGTATGGTCCAGACCCTTAAGCGACACCCCATCCCACCCCCCCCCACCCCCACCCCCCACCCCACCCCCACCCCCGTTGTCGGTCGATCGGCGGGGGGGACCTCCTCCGCGCCGTAAGTATTTGCTTTCTACCTTAAAACTTTTATTGACACGTCACGGTTAATAACTTGCGCCCGCTTTTATAGGAATGGTTAGGGAGGGAAGGGAAGGAGGAGGAGAGAAA